AAAAAAAAAAAAAAGAAGCTGTCAAGCTCTTACCTGGCGCTTCAGTTGAACCCAGGTACCTTTCTCTTTGGCTTCCTTCTTTTTCTGATCATTTTCCTTCACACGTTTCAGGAAGCTATCTCGGCTCTTAGAGTGCTTAATATGCTCAATACGAACATTAATCCTCTTGGCAAGAATCTTGCCCCTGAAGAAAGCAGAAATTCTTATAAGGGCTTCACCAAAAATTTAACAGAAATGTGAAGCTGTTTTTACCCAGATAAATTAACAAGGTGGTGGCTTTATTACTTAATTCACAATCATTAATCTTATTGGATGAGGCTTTCAGAATATCCCTCTGTTCGGTTGAGGTGACATCCTTTGAAACAAGAGTAATTTTACCAAAATCAGATCGCTAATAATATTAAAATCAAAGCTTACTAAACTTGTTTTTACACTGCCTAATACCATATTGCAAAGACTTTGCAATAGGTCTATTTCCATTTGTTTCCTTTGACAGGATACAAGACAAACACCAGTTTGCCTGAGTTTTAAAAGGATATTTCCTTTGCCCCACTTGAATGACCAATAAAGACATAAGTCCAACTGGCAAAGTGAAAAGGGGGCATGGGAATACTATTTAGCTACAAAGAACTACAACATTACTTACTTAACTTGTTTGTTTACAACAATGCCAACAGCATGCTGGGTAACATTGTAGACTCTTCCAGTTTTGCCATGGTAACATTTGTGTGGCATGCCTTTTTGAACAGTACCCATTCCCTGTTAAGGAGACAAATATTATATTAGCAATGAAGCTACTCTAAGATTTCTTTTAAATGGCAACTCAAGAACTTTCAGAGCTGATGAAATGTTTTTCACATTGTTTTAGCCATCAAAAAGATAATCTTCGTTTAAGTGCCAAGATAATCTTCTAGAGTGCCAAGATACATAAACTGAACTTCCATACTGGATTGAATCCAGCTTATGAAACTTCTGTAGTTTTATTTTCCCAATGTTATAATTTACCTTGATGTCTACAATATCACCTTTCTTGTAGATTCGCATATATGTGGCCAAAGGAACAACTCCTGCAAAATACAATTTGCTTTTAGTCAGTATCAAAAAGTGTAAAGCAGAAGAAATGCCATTTTACTAGCTTTCAACACATCCATCACCATTGACAATTACATAAATTTTAAAATCTTATTAATGGAGTTTCTCCTGAAAGAAAAAAAAAATCACTCTAACTCACAATATCTATCCAACATTTAATCCTGCACTGATATTTAATTATGAAACTATTAAATTTATGCTTTTGCATGGTGTCCAACCTCTCTCCTCCCTGCAGTGTTAGAATTAGAGCTGTCCTGGGCCACACTAAAACGCTAATGAAAGCTGATTAGCAGAAACAAAGAGGGGGAAAAAATCCATGTATACTTCTCGTGGTATCTGACACCACAGATAAGCAAAAAATAAGTCCTCACAAAATCAGCATGTGGCCTGCATGTTAGATACCCCAAGTTAGCAAAGTGGTAGACATCACACATGTATTATAAAACACAAATGTGTACCTCTCAAGGAGGGTAACCTACTTACCATGTTTTCTAAAAGGCCTAGAGAACATGTATCGGGTGCCTCTCCTTTTTCCCTTTGTGTTCGTCATTTTGGTGAATTACTGAAACCAGAAAATGTTAACCGTCAAATATAACTAAAAATTGCCATTTAAACAGAAAGCCAGCAATTTTAAAATGTTTGCACTTCAGTAGCAATGTGAGAATTAAGGAACAATTTCAAAGGCTAGTCACCAATTAGTTCTTTCAAAAGGTAAAAAAAACTGTTTCAGCAAATAAGGTCACTGTCAAAACTTTCTAAATTCTTTAGCATTAAAACTTCTTCTAAGTCCTAGAAATGGATGAGAATACAAACCAGTGCACTTTCCCTATCAGAATGTTAAAACACAACAAAACTACTACACTGCATCTGTAAACCTCAGTCTAGAATGCTAATGATATTGGGATTACTAACTAGATAATTTATTGGCAAACAGAGTAAAACCCAGTCTTCCATTTTTATGTGGCATATTAAACACCTTTATCAATCAAATTTTCTATGACAGTTTATCATTTACTTCAACTGTCAAAAATCTCACTCATTTCCCACCTATTTACTGGGAAATGAATATAGGACAGGAGGGGAAACCAGGCTTTGTAATTAGCATTGTAAATTTGACACAGGCTTTGCCACTTGCTGGGAGATCCTTTTTTAAGCTCCCATCTTCATCTGTAAAATGGGGTCAACACTTTTGTGACTGAGGTAATGTCTGCAAAGTAGTGGGCAATTCTTGGCATGTGGTAACAGTGTTCAGTAGTTAACTAGTAACTAATTATCATCTTAAAGTTCTCCTATAGGCATTCAGAATTCTATCTTTCCTGTGTTTCCCAAAACATCCAGTTATTCTGATAGCTCTCTGGTTCTCAGGGGCAGAAGTGCCATTCCTGGCCTACACTCCTACCATTAAGGCAAAATACATGTATACCAGTCAGGCCTAACTTACTGACAGTTTACTAGCATAAATCGCTCTCTTAATTTATTAATACTCCCACGTACACCTAAGGTGGTGGGTTCGAATCCCCAGCCCGGACCCGCCAAACAACAATGATGGCTGCAACCAAAAAATAGCCGGGCGTTGTGG